TTTGGGAACAGACTAAATGACATTGTGAAAACTTCTTCACAATAATAACAATAGGAAAAAACAAACGCAAACACCTTATCAGGTTGGTTCTCCACATATGTCTATAATCTTTATAGGAATTGCAAGTGTATGATATATAAAAAGCTGGTGACTTTTCTTCATTATAACTGAAGTTAGAGAGAGCATCAAATAGCATTCAGAGAGCTAGCTTCTGCACCCAAACCATAGTCAAGAAAATAAATGACTTTACTTCTTGTAAGAAATAAAGGGCAAATCTTCAGCACCTGGTCATTTGTTTATCACTCATATAATATGGAATGGTGTCTACTATGTGATAATCACCTTTCAGCTGTTGGTGACATTATGCTGAAGAGCAAAACCTGTTTTTGCTTTTACAGAGTGCATTCCCGCTGAAAGAAGGTCATGAAGTACACAAAAACATTTAAATCATGATAGTAATATGCTTAAAAAGGCAAATGTTTCTAAATGTCAACACAATCCAGCAGTCCCACCAGTTCTAAGGTAGAGACAAGACGATCACTCCAGGGTTGAGGCTCCCTGGTCTACATAGGGAATTCCAGGTTACAAAGCAAACTGTCTTTTTAAAAAAGGAACAAGGAATGAGAAGGGGTGGTGTGTATGTGAGAAACAGAGAGTAGAGAGTAGAGAGAAACAGAATATTGGGACAGTGACAGCAGGAAGGAGGAAGAGAGGGAGCAGTATATAAAAAAGAGGAAGAGAGGAAAAGAAATGAAAGTTGGAAAAAGAATCTGGATATAGTATTAGAGATTCTTGTCTATGTTGGAATGATAATGCAAGATCTCTACAAATGAACCAAGTTTGAATGCACCATGGAGTTTTTTGAATGAATGGAGTTTTTCATTTCCCAATTGTTCACCCTCACCGGTTTCTGTCCTTATGCTGCTTGCTCCGAGAAACAGTTCAAACAACTTAAAAGTGTCAGTACAACCTTTCGTCTGACTTAAGCCTATCTTATTTTCAGTATTCAGTGCTAGCAGATTTTTGTCTTGTTAAATAGATTTATTAAATATTTGCCTAGCACCGAATTTCAATTTTAGGTTTGCACAACTCAATTATCCCAGTTTCTTCTGATGTAAAATGTCTCCAGCTCTAGCCACAATCCTTCCCCAGTTAGCTTACACTAGGACCTTTGGTTGAGGAAATTTTGTATCTTTGGGTCTTTTACCCTGTGTATTTAATTCTACACATGCCAGGTTTTCTTCTTGAAGCAGCCATGTAATAAATTTGCCCTTATCTTCCTAATCATAGTATGTCCCCCACTTTTTTCAGGTCTGGAATGACACTGTGTACATTTTCAATTTCCTTACCCAGTGGTGCACACAGTACACAATCAATACACATTCCAAATTAATAGCCATAGCAATCCATAAGACAGTCATAGTAATGTCATTTTAGCCAGGAAACAAATACCAGGTCCATTATGAGAAAATCAGCATAAATTCCCTGGTAAAGTGGCCAATATCTCCTTTGAGTACACAGCATCAATTACATATTGGTAAAATATTTTCTGCTTGAAACTTATACATTTGCCCATGATAATGTAATTTAATACTTTGATGACATAAAATATATCATTATTTTTTTACACTATTCAAAAAACAGCAACTGTTACAGCAGCATTTTCATAATTTAAAGAAGGTACCTAGGTTCAATATACAATTTATTGTGACTTACATTACAATACATTAGTATTTCTATATAGGTGTAACTATGGATTTATGATAGTAGTGGATATTTTAAATATTATAGTACTTGATTTGTTATGTTCATTTGGATTTTTTATGTGTTTTTTGTTGTTTTTTGTTTCTTTTTTAAACAAAAGAATTTCAAACTTGGGAGGTTACATGGCTCTAGATAGTGAAACTTAAAATCACTTTGTAGAGTTTGCAATAAAATCTTCTGCCTCTATGTATAAGAATGTAATATTTTAAAACCTAGCTTAATAAAATCAATACAAGATTTCTAACATACCATTTATATTAATATATTTGTTGTGTTACATAATGTTAAAGAGGCATGCATTCGTTTTAAAATCCCTGCTTCTGGGGGTTTGCCAGACTAAACACTAAACTGTTACACAGAAAAAAATGAATTTCTCTCTAACAGGTGTTCTAATGGTGATACCACTATACATTGTCTATAGTTGTAGTCTGCAAAGTGACTGAATTTGCAGCCATAGACGTTAAAATATTTCCATAAAAAAGTATGAAGAGAAGGTAGAGGTAATGTGTGCATTTCTATCAGGGCTTAATAATTACATATGACATTTTCAAATATGATAATTAGCCCTTTAGTTTTGGGGGACAGTCTACAAAACAAAAGCAGAATGTTCTCTTACCAATCTTACAACAGAGGCACCTGGAAAGAATACTCTCTGGCTTGTTGAGCTGCCTTCAGGCTGTGCAGTATGCTCCAGGTTCCCAGCTTTTGAGCTGTCACCCTTGCTCTGGTGGCTTTGGTGATGCAGCTGTCTTTAAGTAATTTCTGTTCCTGTAAATAACCTTTCACCCATACTCCTGTTAGTAATACCAATAAAACTGATTGGTTTATCAAAACAAAAAACAAAACAAACAAACCAAAAATAAAAAACAACAAAAGCAATAGTATTAAGTGCAAATCTAGCTATACCAGGGTGTGTGTTGTTCAATATCCCTCTGCTGATAATTTGGACATGTTATAGAAGAAAAATTCCCAGGTTATAAAAGATTCCCAAACATGGAAATGTTTAATAAGAGTAGTTTTACTTCTTGATTTTATTCACAAGCAACTTAGACAGTACAACTGTTATTTTGCTGCATAATTGTGTTTAGCTAAATACATATAGAATACTTCAGTGTGATGCTTTGTCCATGAAATTTCTCACTTACTGTTTAATTTCCATTAATTATGAATGAAATGATATCTTCCCTCAAAATAAAATAAGTCCAGAAGCAAAATATCAACTTTTCTTTTCTTTTTTTTTTTAAAGGTAGCTAGATGGAGGGAGTTGTTTTGTGGCTTTGGTTTTATGTTTGAATCAAGGTCTCTACCATGACTCAAATTTCCCATGTAACAAAGGATAACTTTGCCTGCTTCTTCCTGCTTCTCCCTAGTACCCAGACTGCTTGTGAGTCTTTCCATTCCCAGTAATGCAGTGTCAGAGACCTGACCCAGAGCCACATGGATGCTGGGCAAGCACTACCATCTAAACTACACCCTCAGCACTTTGGTGCTTATTAGGGCTCAACATAAAAACACTTCAAAAATTGCCCTAAAATAGAGAAAATTTTTGTCTGTATTTTTGTCACTATTGATGTTTTTAAGGCTAGCCTTTAGCCAAGACACTGCTGGCTTCACACCAATGAGTTCAGTGATCACAGGCCTGAACAACCATAGACAGGTTCATCCTGTTCTTAAAGATACACTTTTGTATTATTCCCCTGCTTGATGTGGACGTCTGTTCTGCTAAAGTAACATGGGGGATACAAGAAGCTAAAAAGGATGCCATCAGATGCTATTTTTATAGTATAATTTTGATACAGAAACTGAATTCTCCAAGGTCCCCCAAAATGAATTCTGGCCATTAAAATAAAGTATGTTTAAAAAACAAATTAATAAGGATAAAAAATTAAAAATTATTTAAAGATTTCAAACTTTAATATTCTATTAATAAAAAACAGTATTATAACACTGCAGATCATCTATTAATAATAAATCCATAACTACACAAACAAACACATATTAACACTCATGTGTAGTGCTTTGCAGCATCAAATTTAAGTCAGACAAGGGCAAGTACATATAGAAACTAATGTTATATATTATAAGTTACAAAATAAAATGAGAAATCTGTACTTCATTCAAGAAAAAAAAAAGATACAACATGAATGATACTGTATAAAAGAAAAGTGTAGTCTTTGATAACCTTGGAGATTTGAAAATCTATCACAGGCAATGAGTTTAAGAAGTGAACAGCTAGCAAGAAAGTATAAAAGCCAACATGGAGCATTTAGAAAAATATACTGGGAGAAAAGCTATATATATATATGCGTGCGTGTGTGTATATGTATCACCTAAGGTGCATGAGTGTGCACAGGTACTCACATGAGTAAAGTCAGAGAAAATCATATGAAGTCCTAGGGAGATTCAAAGGAACATTGCTTCAGAAATGATTGCTATGTGTAAACAGCCCTTCTTTCCTTCTTTGCACCTGAATGCAGGTTACAGGCAGGAGACATGAGAGAAGATTGAAAAAAAAAAAAAAAAAAAAAAAACAGAACTTAGCTTTTCTAGTTTTAACATTGTCATTTTTCACTTTTTGGTAGTGGACAAGTGAATAAAATTATTGGATAGTGAAAATATAAAGGCCAACATGAAACTCCAGTTTCATAATGACTGTTCTTACTCTAGATATTTATTGAGATGTGTAGATTTTGGTGCTGGTTAATTCTGTTGTATGATGTTTTTTGTTTGCAAATTCATTATAATGAAGCTTTAATAAATGAGAGACTATGTAACCATGAATTACTTTAAGAAAGAACTAATAAATCCAATGTATCAAAAACATAATCCATGAGTTATTTTCCTAAATAGTCCACATTACAAGATTGACACCAGTTTAGTCTTTAGAAGAATATGTTACATGACAAATGCCAATTTCAAATACTAAACATTAGTTTTACTTGGTTTTCAGTTTCAACTGAATAACATGAAAGTTATCAAATGTACCTAAGCAAATGTGCAAATCCAAGACTTATATATGAGAGAAAATGAAAAATTTATCATTCTGGGCATTACTTAATTTGCTTAACATAATAGTTTCCAGTTCAAACATTTTCCTGGATACATCACATTTTCAGTTTTTGTTCAAGGGTAAAAATTGCACATTTTCACTTTATATTATCTATTGATTGGTATCTGTTCTAGAATATGAAATATAATTTGTTTCAGATGGAAACCTTATTTTTTTTTCTTTGTAGGGAAAGGTGAACATGGAAAACCATACCCCCTTACTGAAGAGGACCATGATGACTCAGCTTATAGGGAAAATGGCTTCAACATTTTTGTCAGCAACAATATTGCTTTAGAGAGGTCTCTACCAGACATCCGTCATGCTAAGTAAGTGTGAACATGTCACATGTAATTGTTTCTTTGGTTTTATTTTTATTACTATGAATTTTTACTTTCATTGATTCTTTGTGGATTTCACATTATGCATTCCATTCCCACCTATCTCCCTGTCCCCTAGCACCGTCCCTTGCCCCAAAAGAGAACTAAATTTTAGAGAAAAATCCAAAACCAAATATAACAAACAAAAAGAAGAATCTTGTTGTGGAACCTTTAGTGGGGCCCTTTAGTCCATTCATGTTTACTTGCAAGTTCATTGCCATGAGCCACTGGTTTGGTTCAAGGCCTCTGGCTTCTGCTACCACACGGATAATGGGCTCTCATTGGGCTCCTCTTAGAAAATCTGTTGTTCTGTGTCCTGGAAATCCTACTGTCTAGGCTTATTCCCTTCACATGCTCCAATAGTTCATAGATTCCAGTGGATGTTTGGGTGGGCCTACTCATAACCCTGGTTCTGGGCTTTGTTAGTATTAGTAGCTCCTTTGCTTTCCCTTAACATCACTATCTTGGTGAACCATCTAGCACTGCCTTGGCTAGCTCATGTACTACACCCTGTAGCGAGGTTCAAGGCTAGATTTCCTCCTCTCAGATTCCATGCCCACCCCTGCATTCACATCACCAGCCACACATCAGCTCTACTGTTTTGTTCCATGTTGAGCCCTCTCTCCCTATTGTTGTAAGAGGCACAGGAGGGAGGCCAGGTCAGCTCTACTCCTCTCAAACCTTCGAGGCTGGCATACCTGCAACCTGCGACAAGGAGGTCAGCTCTAGCTAGTGTGCTGCCCAGAGGGGAAACAGAGGCTGCTTTCTCATTTGCTGCATCTAGTGAGGGTCAGGGCTAGCTTTCTCTGACCTCAGGGATAGTTCTCTCACCAAGTGTTACTATTTCTAATGCATATCACTATGGTATATGTAACCAAAGTGTCACACTAATCATTTGGATTAAACATATCATGTTTGTTAATGCTGTGTATTTAATTAAAATTAAATAAATTTTGAAATTCTAAAAGAGTACCAACCTTACAACGAAAGGGGGAGAGGCTTTATTTTGGCTGGTTTCTAAGGTGATGCAGCCTAAGGCCACAGCAGACAGGGACCTGCAGTGGGACAGCCTGCAGCTGTAGGTGAGTCATCATGGCCCTCTTCAATAAGGAGCACACCCACATCTGGACAGAAGGAGCATATCCACATTTTAATGACCTGCCAAGTAGAGACAGGGCAGGAAACTGAAGCAGGATATAAAGTTCATGGTACACATCCATCATCCATTGACCTTTGAAAACCTTACCTCCTAAAGGATCTACAAACTCTCAAAGCAGTACCACCCCTGGAGAGCAAATGTTCAAATGCAGGAGCTTGTGGCCAACATGGTGAATCTAAAACATAACAAAGACTCTGAAAATGAATGCATTTTCATTGTCTACATTATCTTCATTAGAAACAAAATATTTTAAGATAGCCACACTTTCTGTCTTTGATATTGTGGATTGGAAATAAACATTTTCTCCCTCTGGTTGACATGTTATCAGAACTGTATTGGGACATGTACCTTCTATAGACTGCTTTCTTAAGAGAGCATAGTTTGGATTCTTTACCTGATATTCCCATAAGTAGTGATTATAAAGAACGATTTCATGGTGGAAGCTCCTTGTCCATCTCTGTCACTTTATAAACTGCTTGTGGTTTGACAATTGACAGAGAGTTATATTGTATAAATTAATATGAAAACGATGCTGCATGTAATCCTCTGGAATCCACCTCTCTAAAATGACCTCAAGCTTGTCTTCAAATTGTTAATTCTGAGGAGTGTGATATCTTTCGTGGTTTTCTGATAGCTTAAACAAAGCCAAAAAATTGTGACAAGGCTGGATGTGAATAGTATTTTCAACTCCTTACCACCCACTCAATACCACTGGAGCCTCCCATTCAGTTTCTTTTAAGAAACTGACAAAGACACAGAGAGAAAGAGAGAGAGAGAGAGAGAGAGAGAGAGAGAGAAGCAAGGAAGGAGGAAGAGAGGATGAAGGAAGGAACTAAAATAATAGAACCTAGGAAATAAGAAAATAGATTATAGCTATAAATTAAACAAGAACTGTAAATAAGTAAAATTCATTTATTTAATGATAATTGATCCTTAAAAGGATATCTTATGCTTTAGGGGCTATTATTTTATTTCCATCACTACTTCATTAATTTAGTTGACAAATATAATAATTACTGGGTTCCTTATGAGAATCTGTGTTAAATTACATTTTTAATACCCTTAAGTAGAGGATTAATGTGAGGAGAAAATAAAACCTTTCCTAAACTGAAAACTCTATATATTGTCCTTGGCCTTTAATCCAGATAAATTATTCCCAGGTAATTACAATTATCTGTACCTGTTCCCACTGACCAAAACATTTCTTGTTTTGAGAAATTCTAATGTCTAATTATTTCCATCAAAGATGACTAAGGTGCATTGTTGGCATAATAAATATACTCAGGCAATAACTTTCTTTTACTGATTTCTCCCCCGCCGTTTCCAACCTATTAAGGTGCATTAGAGTGGAAAGTGTTACAGTTGGAAACAGCAGAGAGCTACTGAGCAAAGTTGATTGACTATTCTCTTTAGAGCATATTCTTTAGAGTAACCATAACATTAAATGAAAGATATCCTTACACAACCCTGAAATGCAAAAAACAATCTAATTTGAGAATTTTATTATATCTACTGAGCTTAGATTATCAAGAAAATATTATTCCAAATGTTAAGGAAGCAAGTGTGGCTCCTCTTACACCTTCTTACTTCATTACTGAAGCTGTATTCAGAAAAAGGACAAATGCCATGGAGTAAAATGATACCACACAAAAAGATAAAGCAAACACTAGCAGAGACTGTATGTCAGGAAGGTATTTGGAAGACCATGATGACAGCTTAACTTGACTTCAATCCATAGTTTATTCTGAAAAGGGCACAAAGTGATCCCTGATGCTCCCCTGACTTTGCCAGAATCTCATCTGAAACAAACAAAAAAAAAAAAAAAAAAAAAAAAAAAAAAAAAAAAAAACCCAAAACAAAAACAAAAACAAAAAACAGCTAAAGCCTTGCAGGACCCACATTGCTTAAAGCTCTATGCTTCCAGGTTCCCTGTGCATCTCAAATAGACATGGATTTGACAGTAACACCACGAGGCTCTGTGCAAATGGTCCTAGAAATTACAGATCCAATCAACACATATTTCAGGAGTATTAGTTTGCCTATTCTGTAGCTAACTGCCCATAGTCTGTTTATGTAAATTCAGTCTGTAAAATAGGGCGGAAGCTTTGGATGGCTAAAACATGAGAATTCAAAGAAACTTTGCGCAGTCTCCGTGTACCATTAGGAAAAGGTTCATATTTTTGAGCTTTAAAAATGTGAAAATATTATTTTGTAGCTCTTCGTAGCTTATTCTTCATTGCAGTTCATAAGCTCCCAGTTTGTGTGTTTCTGGCATGCATAGCTGATCTGTGCTCCTGTCCACATGCTCACCTTTACAAAGCTTGCGTTCTGGCTGGTTTGCTACATTTAGTGTACATCTTTGTTTACACTAATTCATTACCGGTTACTTTAGAAATCTCAGTCCACAAGACTTCATCCTTTTATATTTCCTATTTCGTCCTTTCTCATTAATATCAAGTCTAACACCCAGCTTTGATTGTCTATGTCACAGAAAATAACAGGTATGTCATAGACAATAACAGAATTATAGCCTTGAAACCATGAATGAAGTAAAGTTAGATAATAGTGGGCAATAATTTGATGAGTCTTACCCAGTAATAAGGTTATTTCAAGATTTTTTTCCATGAAGGTTTTTTACACAGTTTTCCCAATTTTTAAAAATCATCAGTGTTTTGTGGGAAGTTATATTATCTGTGCTTTGGTATTGTCTAAGCTTCCTCTAATTTTCCATACTATTATTCTATATTCATGGTTTCAAGCTATAATCTATATAATCTGTACATTTAAGTATCCACCTCCTTGTCATGTCTGTATGCTCAGTGTCTAGAATCTGTCTTTAAACATTCTGATTATATTTTATTTCGTCTCCCACAATGCTGGTAAGATTTGAGGGCATCTGTTTAACAGGTGTCCAGTCAGTAATAATTTTAATGGCTTTGCTTCATAATAACACATTTTAATTTTCCCCAACAAGAATATTAATTGTGTTACTTTCATATTTAGATACCTACCTGGGGTGTCACATATATGTTTTGTACTATGTAGAACATTTTATTTAATTTGCAATTAAGAAGGCCAAATGGGATCCACACTAGGGCCCACATCCCTAACAGCTGTACCTGAGGGAAGAGTTGACCTAAGGAGCCCAGCAACCCAGTGAAAACACTGCCCACCACCCACCAAGCCACATTAAGCATGTCCAACAACTTCAGATGGTACCTCCACCCCGAGCCTCATATCCTGGTCTACTACTTTGGAAGATGTCTTATTCACAACTAGAGGCCAGGCAGGATCTAGGAACTGCCTACAACCAGATAACTCTCTTTAAAACCTGCTCAATAACCCCAGGCTTCACACCTCCCCTGACCTCCAAACTAGGACCCATGGCCTCAGCAGTATTAATGAAGCCAGGTTGATCCTTGGAACCCCAGGTAAGACACTGCCCACAACCATCAAAATTCCTTTAAATCCTTCCCTACAACCCCATACTATAAACACACACACCAACACACACACACACACACACACACACACACACACACACACAAAATTTCAACAACACCCCTCTCCACTCCATGTCCTGCTCTACAACTTCCAAAGAAAATTTCAGCTTTACTGGAATGCAAGCTGGATCTAGGAATTCCAGTTCCAGCTGCTGTACTGAAAGCCAGGCTATTCCTAGGAACCTCAAGGCCAAACCAGATCTAGGTACCCCAGTCTATATCCCATCCTCTGGGATCCATATTGTGCTCTACAACAGAATGGGAAAAAGATCTGCATCACCCTCCAC